GGTGCGGGGAGGAAGAGACGAGAGGACACCTGCGTTTGCACCGTCCGGCAGGAAGGCAGAGGGAGGGGGGGGGCTGTGCAAATTCTCCCCCTGGAAGTGCCCACCCCCCCTTCTCTCTCTCTCTCTCACACACACACACACACGCGTGTACAGTACAAGTGCACCACTTGCCAAGGTGCCCCGTGGGAGAGACAAGTTGGTCCCCCGGGCGGCCAAGACCCATTTCCTGCTCCCGTCGCTGCCCTGGAGGACCGGAACGGACGGGCCTTTCGTGGAGTCCTCTGGAGAAGCGTGGCGGGAGTGGGGGTGTCACCCACCTGGGCAGGGGTGGCTTTCCTTACAGCGGCCTTTGCCTGCCACCGCCCCCCGCCACCGCAGCCTCCTCTACTCGTATTGGGCGATGAAGACCATCATGACTACGCCGCCCAGCAGGCTGAGCACTTCCAGCAAGGACTGGACCGGACCGGATTCCTGCAGGAGCTCCGGGATGACGGAGACGGTGGCCACGTAGATGAAGCCGCCGGCCGTGAAGGGCAGGATCCAGGCGGTGGCCGCCTCGCCCACGCCCTCTGCCAGCAGGGAGCAGACGGTGCCCGCCAGCGCCCCCAGGGCCGTGACCAGCTGCAGCTTCATGGCCTGGGGGGGGGAGGGGAGAGCAGGCAGGTCAGCCAAGACCCTCCCCCCTGCCCCTCTTTGAACCAAGGGGCCCTCGTGGCCACCACCACCCCCCGGGCCTTCGGGCCGGGGTCCTCCAGGTTAAGCCCCTCAACCCCTTCACCCACCTTCCGCTTCGTGCAGCCGGACTGGACGAGGATGGCGAAGTCGCCCACTTCGTGGGGCACCTCGTGGAGCAGGACGGTCAGGGTGGTGACGGCGCCGACGGTGCTGCCGGCCACGAAGGAGGCGCCCAGGGCCAGCCCGTCCGTGAAGTTGTGGGCGAAGTCGGCGGCCAGGTTGAGGTAGCCGGCCACACGCATGGCTAGAGGAGTGGAGGCGGGGGTCAACAAGGAGCAATGGGTCAAGCCCGGGCGCCCTGGCCGCACGAGCCCAGCCCAGCCAATCTCCGGATGGCCCCCCCCCTCACCCGACTGCGGAGGTGCCTCCGTCTTCCTGGACGTGGGAGCGGCTGCTCTCCCTGCCGGCTCTCCGTCCCCCTCCTTCTCCCCTTCGTCATCGCTGCTCTTGGCCTTGGCGGCTGCAGGACAAGCGGAGGAGGAGGAAGAGTGTGAAGCCTGCGGGGGCAGCCCCCCCCCCCGCCCGGCCCCCCCCCCCGCCCCCCCCCCCCAGCGCGGCGCCGCCGACATCCCCCACCCGACCGAGGACGTGGGCGCTCCCATGCCAGCACCTAGAAGCCAAGGCGCGCCCCCCCCCAGGCCCCCTGCGCATGTGCGCACAATCCCCTCCCACCGCCCTCTTACCTGCACTGCACACATGTGCGCCTCCCACCTGATTTCCGGGCCTTTACGGCCTCCCAGAGGCTCGAGGGAAGCCTTTGCAGGCCGAAAAACGGGCCCATTTCATCCCTTCCGGTATTTCCGGAAATACCGGAAGGGATGAAACGAGCCTGTTTTCCGGCCTCCAAAGGCTGCGAAGGCTTCCCTCGAGCCTCCGGGAGGCCGAAAAAAGGGCCCGAAAATCAGCTGAGAGGCCCGTGCGCGTGCAGTGTTTGCCTGGGCCTCTGCCACAGGTTTGCCCTCACGGCCTTAGAGTCATATCCCGCTTCACGGTCTTCTTAAGCGGCGGACGGAGTCAGCCATCTTGCCTCCCCAACAATCTGGGCGCCTCCCTTTACTGACGCACGAAGGACGGAAGGCTGAGTCAACCGGGAGCCGGTCAGGATCGATACCTTCCCGCTTCCCGAGGGACCCACCTCCCCCTGCCCCCCGTCCCATGGGGCACAGCGCCCGAGCAGCCCTGGGGAGGGGTTGCCAGGGGGGGGGGCAGCCAGGCAGCCTGCCTGCCGCGGGCCGCCCCACACCGACCGCGTGCGTGGCCGTGGCTGTGTCCGTGTCCCCCTTTGACGTGCCTGACGAACTTCTCCACCACCAGAAAGGCCACCAGGCCGCTCAGGACCCAGAGGCCGACGGCCATCGTGTGCTGGTGCTCCGGGCCTGGAAGGAGGGCGAGGGGCGGCAATCACGGAGGGGGAGGGGTCTCTTTTCAAGGATTC